TTTATAAACTGAAAATAATATTCATATAATAACAAAGCATTTTGAATGGGTTATTTTTCAAACACCCAGAATATCAGTTCACTAAGTTCCTGCAATTCGATGAATAGAAACATACACATACAGAATTGGACCACTAAAAAATACAACCGTCACTTTTCAGGTTTACTTTTTTCTTCTTAATTGATAAGCCACAGCTACCTTTAAGGATGACAGGTCCAGGAAGAGTCAAATCAATGCTCTTCAGTCCACTCAACTAGGTTGGATCTGGCCTGTTCTGAGGACTCACTGCTGTATAACTAAGATGCTCCTGTGGTGGGATACCCTGGGAGCCAAGCAGCTCCTCATGGGTCTCTGTCAGGATGATGAGTGTGCCAGTATTATGAATGTGGCAGGGAGGAAGTACTCACTTGTATTTCAATCATGAGCAACAAAGAACCTTCTATCTCCACATCTGCCTAGGGTGAAGGAAGGCTTGGATCACAATATGCCAATAAAAAGCCCTCATTTGAAGTTGGCTAGGACTTCATATATATTTATAGTTTAAGTCCAGGGTGGACTTAGAACCATGTATTGTATTGAGTGAGACTCTAAGATAAACAGAGGAAGTTAGATGGGACTGATATTTATCTCCTATATATATTTATCTCCCGTATACAAAGAAAAGTCAAAAAGTTTGACTTACCCACATCTATTTTGAGATTATAGCATGTGCCTGTTAATTATCGTTAGTGCTATTTCTTGTTATGTTCTCCCAACCACCACCAAAAAAAAAAGTTTCAGTTTTTGTTAGAATGAGCCCTGACTGACGAATAAGAAAATGATGATTCTGGCTCCTACTCTGTCAATTTCAAGGCACTTCTCTAGGTAAGCCATACCCGTGCTCTCTCTATCCTTTCTCCAAAGGAGGAATCACATGATTAAGCCGGATGATCTCTGTCGGTGTCATTCCATCAGCTTTTGTGTGGCACTATTGAGTTTCCCTGACATATAACCAGATCACGCTGGATTTTTTACCTATCTACTAGGCAATGGATTCTACATATGGATATTGTGGAAGTAGGGATTTGATATTTAGAGACCCTTTGCAAACAAAGGCTACACAATTGAATTTAAATTGACATCAAACTGCAATGAGTTGAAAGAAATCATATCAAACGTGACACCAACTATGAAATGGCAGTTTTATTTCCATTCCTAGGAGGTGAAGAGCCCAGGATGAGCCCAAAACAGTGAGCATCCGTTTCCTCTCATGCTGAAATAGGTATTCTCTATTTACATGCTTCAGCTTGATTACAAGTTCTGTTCCCAAGCTCACATTCACAGCACTTGAAAGATGCAATTGAATATACTAAACACGCCTACTCTCTGAGGACAATTCTTGGAGTGACATACAGCCCAGCCTTGCAGATAAAGCAATGCAATGTTAGTTTATAAAAATTAAGTACTTCTCATAGCTGCATACGGCTGTTGTGCATATTCGCAGTCAAATACTCTACCACTGAGCTATACCCCCGTTCATGATATTTGAGTGTTGGTGACAAGAAAGTCCAGGCAGAACAGCTCAGGAATTAAGCATAAAGTACAGGAAGTGGGCCACACAGTTTTGACCACAGGCTTACAATTTTCTAGCTACCATCTATGTCACATCTCTAGACCTCGTTTTCTTTACGAATAAGATAATGATAAAAAAAAAAAACCATGCCTTCTTCTCAGGGTTAAGTGCTCTGTGTACTTTTGTTTAAAATAATCAGAATCATTTGAATTGTGCTTTTCCATTGACACACTATTAGAATTACTACCCCTTAACTCAGCCAAATGTGTCCACCCCAGTGTGATTTCTACAGTACCATGCAGTAGAAATAATCTGGGTTTGGGAAGCCTTTATCAGTTAGGCTTTGTTACCTAGCAAACCTCTCCAAAATTGTATGGCTTAAAACAACAAACAGTGTTTTGTGTTTACACCTAACTCTTGCATACTGGGCAGGGCTAAATGGGTGGGAATGGCTCAATACTTCATATGGTATTAGCAATGGCATCTTGTCCAGGGCTTTGGTGCCTTGTATTCCTTTGGGCAACTCTTTACTTGTGCTACAGTGGTATGTTATGTGATCGCTATGTATTTCCCAAGCCTGACTGGGAACACCATAATCCCTCTGAGAACTGAAATTCAACATCCCGGGATGTCATTTATACTATATTTTATTAGGCAAACAAGTGAGAAAGGTTTTAGATTCAGGGGAAGGAACATTAGCCTTCTCTTCTAGATTGACAGTGAAAAGGAAAGACAGACTCACTGCCGGCTTTAACGACAGAATCAGGCACAGCCTCAGTTTCATTCCCTCCACTAAGAACTGAGGGGTCTGTGACTCTCAAAAGCTGTGCTTCTCAACCTTTAATACAGTTCTTCATGTTGTGGTGACTCCCAACCATACAATTACTTCCTCACTACTTCATAACTGTAATTTTGCTACTGTTATGAATTGTAATGTAAATATCTGCTATGTGACCCTTGAAGGCGTTGTGACCCACAGGTTGAGAACCACTTCTCTACAGTGCTATTTAAACTTCATTCGCAGGGCAGGTTAAGTCCGTGTCTATATCCTGTCCTTTACTTGTAATTCTCCCAGGAGAAACAAGACGCAGTAAAGGTCAGGAGCATCCCTTCCACAGAGGAGAGGAAGATCCTGTCACTCACCTGGCTGTTCTCTGTGCTCAGGTGTCACATATTTAAGACTGGTGCTCACTTGGCTGTGGCTGCTTAGTGTATGTGCTAAGTCCGCTAAGTGTCAGAAAAGTCACAAGTCACCAACTGGGTGACCATTTCTTTAAGTACTCCAGGTTGCCTGTGGTGGGTTTTAGTTGGTGGAGAGTTTAGTCAAACCATCTCAAATGCTCCATTCATACTTGGGAACACGTCACTCAGGCTTGGTAATGAAGGAACAGACATGTCTGCCTGTAGGGAGGGGCATCACTGTAAGGTAGCAGAGCCCCATAAACAGCTCTGGCATTCAATGCATTTCCCCAAGTCTCAGTGGTCACCTTGAGGGGAGGGGGTTCTCTCCCTCTTATAGCTGTCAATTTTAGATATTTCTCTGATTGAATTTCTCCAAACAGTCTAGAAAATGAGATTGAGTTAGGAGTTATTTTAGGTTTCAATTTATGTGGTAGCCAAATTCACAAAATGTTATCGATAGTTTTGACTCATTAGAGAAATGAATGGGTTTTTTTTGTAAGTCATGTAGCCAAATCACAGCATGGAATACAATATCATATTTGGTTATAAAAATGATAAAGAAAACTCATCAGAGACTGTTACAGGGAAGGGATAGTCTCTGGCCTTTCATTTAAGAAATGGTCTTTTTTATAAGATCTAATATTTAGGACGCTGTTATTTAAATCATGGTGCAGTAATAAAGCCTGGGGAGATGTGTCGGTGGCTTAGGACTCAGAAGCATTCACTGCTTTCCCAGAGGACCCAGATTCGTTTCCCTACACCCATATTGGGCAGCTCACAGCTGCCTATAACTGCAGGTCAAGGAGACTCAATGCCCTCTTCTGACTTCTGAGAGGGCTCCCTATACGTTGTGCACATACTATCAAGGATGCACATACACATGCATATAGATAAAGATAGATACACTTATAAAAATTAAATCAGCTCTGTTAAAATTAACTAGAATGATTTGAATTTAAGTTCATATTGGTATGGAGTGCAGGTGCAGCTCAGCTGGTACTCAGTTTTCACCAGAGAATGTTTATCACAAATGATGGGATAAATACAATGACAATTCTAATTGTCTGGGAAATGTAAACAATGAGACCTCTGGAAGTAGATTTGAAAGTTACTGTTCCCAGCAGTGGATCTATCTGAAGGTGTGTAACACTCTTTTGTTGATGTCACCATTTAGTTTCATGCGTTTGAATCATTCCTTTTGTTTCCTCTTGGTTTTTTTTTCTTGCATTTTCATATTCCCCTACTTGGAGTTCTGGTGTTGGAAATTTTAGTGCCCCTTAATGTTCTGCAGCAGATATTCTTCCTCCCAGGGAGGGTACTCTATGGCATTGCAGCCATCAGCCAGAATTATTTGCAGGTTATGTTTCATTTGATTGTATGAAGGCATGTAGGGAACCATATGAGTCTAGTTTCAACATCTGGGTTGACATTCCTAGTACCTTCTATTTCTGGAATGCCACTAAAATATTTCATAAATTATTGTGATAAAATAGTTTTCCATGTTACATGAGAGCATCTCTGTTTATCATAGTCTCTGTAACAAATAGCATTTAGAAACAGACTGCTGAGATGACTACCTCTCTCCCATCACTAATGATCTTGAATTATGCGAGAAACCACATGTCTCTCATTTCAATTTAAGCCAATAGAAAGTCATGCTTTAGAAAGTTTAAGAGACTTATTTCCATGGATTTTCTCTGGTGTTGAGATGCTTAAATAGTGGAGATGCTTAGGCGTGCACACATTTTTCTTCCTCTTCCTAGTCCCTCCAGTGTTTTAGCTGAAGAATGTATGTAGACATGACTTTACCTTATCTGGTTCCAAATTGTGGATGTTCTGTACTTTCCTCTGACAGTGAGATTTGAAATGAGGTTTTCAGCCTCCTTTTCATGTGAGATTCTGTTTCATTCTATACATTAGCATGGATAATATTCACCCATCTGTTTTACGATGTACATCACTATCATTAAAGCAATCCTCTCTGGTAGTATTGCTAGATATATCTTCATTTGCTCACTATAGAGGCTTGATTTAATTTATTGAAAAATCAGGGTGTTTACCAGAGGAGAAAACATGTCTTCTTCTTTTCTTTCTGTTTTTCTTTTCCTGTTTGTTCCATCTCTTACTGAAGCTATGTCCCAGAACATAGCTAAGCTATGCTAACAGTGGTTTCAGTTGTGATCCCAATAATTAGGCAACCAATAGAGCATCACTGAAGAAGTCAATATTAAACTCACTAAGAAGAATTTGATTTCTGTCTACTCAGGTAAATTTTTAAAAAAAGTCATTTCTGAGACCTGGTGATGGTTCAGTGGATAAAAGAGCTTGCCCTGAGAACAAGAAGACCTGAATTCGAATTGCCAGCACCTACCACACCACCACCACTATTATTTCTTCCTTCTACACACTTCTCTTAAAAGGCAACCAACGTACAGGTAACATGATATGAATTCAACAGATTATATTTAGGAATATATATGTATATATGTATATGCATGCAGTAACAATTAGTGAAGAAAGTAGGCCGTGAATTTGAAGGAGAGCAGAGAGGGGTATGTGGAAGGGTTTGGAGGGAAGAAAGGAAAGGGAGAAGTGTTGGAATTTTATTTTAATATCAAAAATTAAAAAATAAACAACAATGAAAATCAGGCACAGACTGTTACCCTAGCATTGGAGAATAGAGACAAACAGATCCTGTTTCCTTGCTGGGTAGTCAGCCTGGACTAAATAGTGAGAAAGCCTGCCTCAACCACTGAAGTGCAGAGTGACAGAAGATAAGATACCCAGTATAAGCTGCTCACCCCTGCAGAGCATGCCCAGGTATGTGAGACCTCCCCATATGTATATATGCTCACACTACAAAGTTAAAGAACATCTAGATGAAATAAATAAAATAACTTAAAAAAGTAAAGTTGTCCCTAAAGTCAGTCAGTCTCTCTGTCTCTTGATGGCTCGGTGTCTCTGTCTCCCTCTCTCCCTTCCTCCCTTGCCCCCATCTATCTATGGGCTATGAGACAGAGCTTCATTCTATGAGCCAGACTGACCTAGAGCTCAATATGCAGCACATGATAACCGTGAACTGTCGTCAGTCTTCTGGCCTGAGCCTCTTACATACTGGGATTGCACAGTTAGGTTGAGCTACCACACCCGGCTTCTTGTGTTTTGATAGGACTGTGTAGCTGCTATAAGGTATACTATTATCAACATAATGTGTATAGAAAGATCTGCCTTTCTTTATGCGTACTTGATTGTAAAATTACTAGTGACGAAAAACAACTGAAGATCTACTATCCCGTAGAAAGAAGTAGCTTAGTTACCCTGAAGTTTGACTTTAGATCCTATCCATAAACTTTAGTTGTGCAAATTTTACCATGTTAACTTTGAATATAATTCTCAAAGTAACAGGAGGAGATTAGATACTCCAAATGAAGACAGGATTGGAAGCTTTTCTGGTGACAAGGGACTAATGGCTGTTAAAGTATATGACACTCTCGAGATTATCACCAAGTGATGCTACTTGTCCTTCCAGACATTCCTTGAGAATCCTCAGCTCTATGTCAGCTACAGATGACAATTCCATTGTAGGAGTGACTTTTTATTCACACACTCAAAATAGGCTAGATTAAAAAAAAATCTGGTGTACCTCAAAATTGACTTTATTAGATACTAAAAGTGAAGTTTTTCAAATGTTAATTTTTGGTCATTAAAAATGATGTATCACTCTATTACAGAATTCCTTCCCTTGTATTTAATTTTAGTCAGAAGGTCAGTGATAAAATAGTTTTGATGTCCTGTTTTGTAAATGTGCTGCACATTGTAGTCCTTGCCATGAGTACCACATAGACCAATTTGCCCTTACCCGAAGTCAGGTCCCGTCTATGGAGAAATCTGCTCTTTCTTCTTGAGAGTGAGGCCATGAGAAGGGTATACCTGCAGCTGAGTGGAGAAGGAGAGAGGAAGACATAGTTGAACAGATAGACCCAGACATCAAGTCGATGCCGGAATCAAATCTACAGCCCTCTCTTTTCACACAGCCACGGGAATGAAGGTGTCCAATTCATTCTGTTGAGACTGGTCCTTCCCTGTGCTTCATTACCAAAGCTTATTATTTTTTTAAATTTTAATTTTTGAAAATATTCTAAAGATCAACTCTTTAAAACTAAAAGAACTGTTGCTACTCTTCATTTGTTTAAATCATTGGACCGAGGAAGTGGCCCCTTTCCTCGGATAGCACTATTAGAGCCTCTGAAATATTTGATTTAACCTTGGTCCTAAGAAAGAGGTGAGTATAAAAATGGGAAGGAAATTCTGACATGAGACTCAACATTTTCCTAGCTGTTTAGAGTTTCACCTGAAGATAAAAAGTAAAAAAAGAATGAAAAATGTTTATCTAGTAATCTATATTTACAGCCCTTTTAATGTTTATTTTTGAGCCTTGTAGCTCAGGCTGCCTTAAACTTGCTACACTGCCCAGGCAGGCCTCTAGCTTGTGATTTATCTGCCACAACCTCAGAAGGAGATAGGATTATGGATGCAAGTGACCACAACCAGAAAACAAAATGAGGTGTGATACATAAATTTTGACAGATTAGATAATGCTATGACTTCAGGAAACAAACAATAGTAGTCATATTGCATACAGGAATAATCCACCCACTTCACAACATAGTTCATGAAAGTAAATTATAGAGCCAGGTAGTGGTGGCACACGCCTTTAATCCCAGCACTCGGGAGGCAGAGTCAGGTGCATCTCTGTGAGTTCCCGACCAGCCTGGGCTACAGAGTGAGTTGCAGGAAAAGCACAAAGCTACACAGAGAAACCCTGTCTAGAAAAACAGAAAAACAAACAAACAAACAAAACAAAACAAAAAAGAAAGTAAATTACAATAGCCTGAAATGTAGTGATATGCAACAAGGTACATACATTGTAACATGCCACTTGCAGTTTTATTGTGATGTATCTTGGAAATAGAAAAGTCAAATAAAGAGTAAGTTGGTGTCATTCTTAGATAACTTGCTTTTTACCCCCAGGAAGAAAGACATTCCAGGGAAGGAATGATTCTGTAGTCACATTGAACCTACAGAGCTGTCCTCTATATGAGAGCATGTTAAAAACACAAATGAATAAATAAAGCTTTAGGATACAGATATCTATCCTTGATTCCAACTCCATTAACGCCTTTGTAAATATGGACAGAATATCCAAATGCACTAATGCTGTTTCCCTATACACAAAAACAATTGTGCTGAGAACCGCCCCTCGAGATGCCGGTTTCTGTGAGGTTTTTGAATTTACGTGGAATCTCCTGAGGCACAAACATTGTGAGTTCTTTCTTCTTCTAATCTCTGTATTTGTATATATAGACTTGTCTCATTAGGAAATCTTAATGTATTTTAATAACCCTAGAAACTCAGTTGCTACTGATTGTATCTTACAGGTTAGACCAACTTTCCAGAAAGTGATTTTTAATAGTTTTTCTAATGAATTATCATCAATCTAGATGTTAAGAAAGCGCACACTGCTGCGTTTTCTATTAAACTCCCTTTGGTCCTGTCTAAGGCAGCTAAGGACAGTGAAGTTAAGGAGTAAACTAACAGGAAATCCCATTTGCTGATTTCTTGAAGTCCAGGAGTGCAGCCTTCTCAGTTCAGATTTCCCGGGAAAGTCAATTCATCCTTTACTCTCTCCCATACATAAAATTAAGATGATGGCACTTACACTCAGCAACTCTCTAAGTTTTTCCATTATTGTGAATGAAAAAGAGCATTAAATATTACATCTTTGCAATATATTTATTTTTAACAGCACAGAGACTGGATATATAATTCAGTAGTTCTGAAGTCTTCAAACTTGTTTCCACAGATTTGTATTCTATTTGAATAAGAAGAAACTGGATTTTTAGGTGCCTGGTTTTCCTTTATTTGTGAGCTTTAGAAGAGCTTTTATTTTTCCTCAAGTAAAACAATTTCTCGAAGATACATTTCAGAAGTGTTAGGGAATTTCTCTGTGGAGTCTTCTTATAAGGACACGTCTTGCATTCTTTTGTCCTATTGTCCTGCGGCTCGCTGCTGGAAGACTCAGCCGATTTCATTTAGATTGCCTATCTACTGGCTGCAGTACCTCCAAGTACAAAAAGGACTTGGTCCTTTTGTCACCCAGAAGGTTCCACGGGAATGCAACCAAGTCCAGCAGAGACAAAGAACGCAGAGAGGAGTAAGGGGAATCGAAGATAACAAATTTAAATTTCAAAGAGACTAAACCCTTTGTAAAAATAAGGAAAAGACCTGTTCAGCGTCGGCCTCCATTATGTGGCTAAAGGAAAGCTAAAGGTATTCACCAATATCCAGAATTTACTTTCAGTTTGGTTATAGGTTAGTCAATTCATCCAGGAATCTGTGTGCTGTTGGGGAGTGCAAGGCATTACCCACATTTCCTTCACAGCACTTTTCCCTGCATCCTAGCCTCTGTTAGCCTATTTCTTTCTATTGTGTTTTATATGATCTTGCCACAGATTTATGGATTACAATTGATTTGGGCTATGAGAATGCAAAGTCATAAATAACATTTAAAATATAAATCTGTGGGTAAACACACCCCCAACCCCAAGTTGAACCAGACAACTTGTAAATAAATCAATATGGAATCTGTATTTTTGAATACAATGCTGTAAGTTTTTGTTCCTTCCTGCCCTTTCTGTTCCAGTTAAAGTGGGAATGTTGTGAGCCACTAAATAATACTGCCCAAAGCACACAAATGCCAGGTCTGGGCAAGAACCACCTTGTAAATTGAAACCACGGGCTTTTCCCCAAAGCTGGTTTGAGCTGTCAAAAGGATAATTATGTGTTCGTTCCACAGGAATTGAAGAGGGACCAGTATTCATTATTTTCTTTTTCTATTTTAAATCTAAAAATTTTGTGAATGATAATCACCATCTTGATTCATCAACTGAAAATCAAATTGTTATTTGTAATGCATTTAATCCAAGAGTGTAAGGGGAGGGTGGAATAGCAGGGGGAGAGCTACACTCTTCCAATTGTGAACTCCAAAGTGGGAACCCTTTAACACACGGAATATTTCCAACAAATTCATTCGTATGAAGTTTCTTCTCTCCCTCTGTAGCCTGTTTTCCTTGGCATTCAGCCACTAGAAATTAAGACCCAGTTTCCTTGGCAACGATAACTGTGCACACATCCTCACAAGCTCTCCCTCATTCAGATTGTTAGCTATACAAATAAAGTTTCACAAAGAGATTGCTTCAGAATAAAAGAATAAAAGAAAGACTGTTCCCATCTATTGTGACAGGCCTTAAGGTATTATTCACAGTACCTCCAATTGGACAATGTGTTTTTGTGATGAACTGAATTACCTTAGATTGGTTTCCCACATCTCTTTGTGCTTGGGATAGCAGAATAAGCTTTTATACTCTATTTAATT